CTTAAAAGTCTATATTACACAATATAGAAAAAACGAATATTTTCTTTTCTTCCTGGTAATGTTAAATATTATACAAGCACGACTTATTCTATATGTCTTTCTGGTTTTCATATATATCTAACAGGGTTTTCGCTATGGGTTTCTACTCTACAATTACAATAACTTTTATAATCATGATTTTTGTTAATATAAATATGTGTTGATTTTAGGCAACGACAATGAATAAACACTACTTTAATAATACTATAAATATGTATATAATGTTTGTATATATTTGATTTGTATTAAATGTTAATATTTTTACTATAACCTACATTTAATGGTAACTACGTTTTTATTGCTTTTTACTCACATTTCAACACTTTTCATCTTTCTTCGTCTTTCTTTTGATATTAGTCACGAATTAACAATTTATTTAAAAATAGTTTTATAAATATTTTCTTGTGAAAGTCAAAAGAATATTTGGCCAAAAATAAAATTATTTTCATAAATAATTCTTATCAATATCAAACCGTACTAAAAACTAGCACTGTTTTATATAAATATTATGTAAAGGTCTATGCTATCATGCATTATCTTATATTATCTTATATTTCACTTTACTTCCTTCCTATTATTTTCTAAGGGACTACGTTATGCCTTGAAATAAATTAGGTACACAATTAAAATATAGGTTCTTAAAAGGGTAGGTTAAAATTAAAGTATTATATATACATCGAATTTTATATAGAAATCCATATTTTCAACTAATTTTAGAGTTTTAATTTAATTTTAATTCTTAAATTTTGAATTACTGGTACAAGTACACTTTCTAAACCTTTTGAGATGTTTTAATGTGGTACAGCCTTTTATTATATTTGAGCTATTGATAGTTTCCTTTATGCATGTACATTTTGTACAAGTTTATATAAATACATATACATATAAATATATATTTCGATATATATTTAGGTATATCTATATACATATATATATTTATATACATTAAGACTGAAAAGTTTTCGGAAATTCTCATTTAAAATTCGCGCGCTGTATATTTTTCGATATTTTAAGTTTATGTAGTTTGGCAGCACTGTCCTTAATTACTATGCCAAAAATGAGCGCGATCTGTCAGACAGTTCGTTTACGGCAGCTGTTGAAACCAGTTCACCTCAGTAGTGCGTTGCGAAATGTCTTCGACGGTCGTACGACCGTCCTGAAAGGCTTTGTACCACTCATAAACTTGAGTTTTCGATAAAACTGATTCCCCATAAGCCTTTTGTAGCATTCGCAACGATTCTGCACACGAAATTTCGTTCGAAACACAAAATTTGATGCAAACTCTTTGTTCAATATTTTTTTCCATTGTTTTTTTCGCAACGCACTACTGAGGTGAACTGGTTTCAACAGCTGCCGTAAACGAACTGTCTGACAGATCGCGCTCATTTTTGGCATAGTAATTAAGGACAGTGCTGCCAAACTACATAAACTTAAAATATCGAAAAATATACAGCGCGCGAATTTTAAATGAGAATTTCCGAAAACTTTTCGGTCTTAATGTATATACATCTGTATGGATATATCTATACGGTGTTTCCTAATCAAGTGGTAAAAATGTTGGAGCTCATGCCTTGGTCGAAGATATGAAAGAGGATGGGATCCATTTTCAATATTTGTCGAAATACAGCGTATCAAAGACAAGTGTATCCAAAAAAATGTTTGTCAAAAAACCCCTAAAACATTAAAAATTAAAAACGGTTTATTCGAATACATGGAGTCATGTATTAGTTTTTATTTCATTTTAGAGTTTCGGCGTGAAATACCTTCTGTTTTTTTCGATTACATTCTGCGAAATTTGTACTGTTGAAAAAACCAGTAATTAATAAACTTTAAAGATAAAAATGTAGATACACCGTAGGTACATTTCAAAAATTAAGGATATTGTATGAACTAAAAGCAAACAACGTTTTTAAGATAATTAGGGTTTTTCAATTTAAGGTACTTTTTAAGTCGATTTTTTTGACACTTTGTATCTCAGTATATATTGAAAATTAACATCGTTTTTACACGAATTTTTTTTGTTACTTTGACCAAGAAATCAGGTCCGGATTTTACGAGAGGTATATACGAAACGCGCTATATATATATATATATATATATATGCATAAATGTAAACACCAGCGACGTGGGAAAAGAATATTTCGAGTATGTTAGCTTAGTTAATCTTGGTACATATAGGTATACCTAGTATATGTCCTACCAGGTTGATTTCGTTTTAAATATAATCCGTTGTTTGATACACACTTACTGTGATTATTTTAGTAAATGAACTATTCATTTAAATAAATTTCGAAAGATATTAAACTTACTTCAATCTGTATATTGCGTGGAATTTATATGTTCATAATGCAACTTTCATTATATATTATGATGATATTATTTTTATTTCAATGGAACAAATACTTTACAACGCGTTTATAAAAAAATATATTTTAATGATTGTGTATATAACTTTGTGAATTCTCATAGAAGTATATATTCAATTCAATTAGCTCTTAGAGATTTTATAGATATTATATAGGTAGTAATAAAAATAACGATTTTGTTGCTGAAATAATGCAAATAATGCAAATGTTTCGGATCATTTGTCGAATTTATACATAAATAAAAATAAATTCTACTTGAACCTTCAACTTTCACTCAAGACGTTTTTATAACTACAGAGAATAGGTGAATGAACTAGACCAAAATGTATGCCGCTGAATCTAAATAAATCTATATATTTTTTTCACTCCGGTTCCGGTTTTCGCTTCAACATACATATCAATTTTCTAATTATTTGCGTTTTGAAGACCTGAACACACTGAACTGAATAAATATTCTAACAATATTGGCAATATTAGGAATTCACATGAATCAGGATTTCTGATGAAGGCAATAGCGAATTTCCTGAAATATGTATAGAAATATACCTAAAATAACGATCGCAATAAAAGTCAAAATATCGGAAAAACAAAACCGACTTTAAAATATTTTCAAGCTGAAATAACGTAGCTCCGTCCATTTATATGATCCGAAAAGAAAGAAACTTGTAAAAACCGATTTATATAAGCTAATCTGGTATGATTCGGACACTATATGTATATTGGCCCGTGCCACTGGTGTATACAGACATTTTTATATTTATATACTATATTTATATACCTATATTTTTATTTTCTTTATTAATTAAAATATACAATTTCTGTTCCTTTAAGTTCGGTTGGCAAATATGCATTAAGAGTATAGACCCCAATAGAGAGCATTTGTGGCAGAGTTTAGTAAAGACTATAATCCCTTACCTATAAAAACCATAAATAAAGCAGTTGTCTGTCAGAACAAAAAAATATTTATATGTAGATTTGATAGTAAGTTTCAAATAAACACGAAGGATCGGGTAGGATGCTGGGTTATGCTGGGTAGGACATGTTTTAGTATCTTTGTATTAGACTTGCGCTAAGAGACTAAAACACATGAAAAAATTCAAAAAAATATCACAATAAACAATTTGATGTGCGACGAACTCTATTTTTACGAACTTAGATATTTGGGACTTTCATAAGGTCTTCTGGAATACAGTAAGTTGAATATGTATGAATGTGTGTGGATATTTTCTTGCAATAGCATATAAAAAATATTTTATATTTATCACTGTATTTTTCAAGTTTTTTTCTTGTAAATAATTAGAGACTAATTTATATAAATAAAGAAATATTTTTATATAAAATAAATAATAAATATGTGATTTATAAGTTTTTTACAAAATAAATAAAATATACAATTATACATGTACTGCTACACATAACAACAAGAGCTGCATGTGCGCAGATACATAATGGAAAATCGCAGGTATATGAAGCGTTTCTCTCGAGTGGCAAAAGATGAATTTTAGTACTTAATTTATAAAATAATACCTTTCTAACATCCTATATTCTTATATCAATCGTTTTTTCTCTTACTCTTACTGAAGCCAACCTAGGAGTTGCATCTTTTGTAAGAAAAATATTAGCAATTATTTTATAAGTTCCTGACCATTTTTGTTTAAATTGTTTAACTAACAAGCTGTTCTGATTGTATTAATTTTCGTTTAAATATTTATAGATTATATCTTAAAATATATTTAATATTCTACGTTTTTTGGTATAAAAATTTGTCCGCACTTTTTCGTACGTTTAAGGTTTAGTTAACATTATTTTGTTTAATTTACTTATTATTATACTAAAATATTCACACATGTTCTTCAGACTATTTATATACTAACTACGAGCAGCTAGGGCAGAACTTAGTTGATTAGGTTAGGTTTGGTTGGAGTGGCGGCCTTGTGTGTACCAAGAAAGCCTATTTCAGCTCAAATAATGGCCATTTGTGGTACAACAGGAATAGCGTTGATTCGTACATAGATAAGGTGATGATCAGTATACGACCACCGCCACTTAGTAGATTGTTTCGGTAAAAACTAAAAATACAAAAACTGAGAAGAGAAAATTTGGTACTTCTGAGCTTTTTGTTAGATATTTTAATATCAATGGCCGTAGGTATCTATGGAGTACACCAGCACAATTATTGTTACTTGTTGTTGGTGGTATAAATGAAATATTAGAATTCTATATTCAACCTAGGTGTTTGAGGAACTTTAAACAAATCTGGTTTTCTGACTTTAATTGATAGTGTTCTGTTTAAAAGAAAGTGCTAAAAATCTCTCTCTAAAAAATTTAATTTTATCAAAAATTTAAATAAAGATTCTATAATTAATCTTTATTTAAATACATAATTATTAATTAAGAAGTAAAAAGTAATTAGAGTGAGGAATGTGATACACATCAAGAAATAATTAAATACTATCTCTAATACTTTAAACAAACTTTAAGAGATATCGTTATGGTGACATATATTCAATAAAGAACTAAAGATAAAAATTTTTGTCTGGATGAAACAAGTGATTCTTGATAAACCGACTAATGGAAACAAGAATAAACACGATTGAAATTGTTTATTAAAATGCATGATAAATTTTAACTTTAGTTTTAACAGGTTTAACTAACTAAACACTAAGCGACCAGTACTTTAATGAATTCTATACAGCACCTTTCATTCAAGTGAATTTTAAATAGCGCATTTATATAGATGGGAAAAATAAATGAACTACAAACTAACTCTTAGTTCCGCCCTATTTCAATATATTTAAAATACGTTACCTTTTCACTAAGTCGTGTAAACTAAAATTCATGTATGCTATGCTATATCGACTACTTCACTACTTCTTTCGAACACTAATTATTGCTTTTGACTACATTCTACTCAGCAAAATTGATTGATTTTGCTGAAGTAGCTTAATATTAATATACTTAATGTTTACAGCTTATATTCTATTGCTTGTTTTGATTAGACGTAGATTTTTAAATTATAATGACAGTGTTAAATACCAAATAATGAATAACAAAATTTTCACAAATACTGAAAGGAAACAAGTACTTCACTTCTTCAGTAATACAAGATCAGCAAATATCTTTGTTTTATGTTAATGCTTTCTTCAAATACGCACAGAAGCGTCAATGGAATAGAAGTTCAGTTTTTAAAAGTCTCACGTTAAGGTCCACCCATTCAAGCCTTGCATTAGGACCAATACACTCGCATACCACAATGTTGTTGCAAAAGTACGACAGTAGCCTTGAGCTGTGCTTGATCCTTGCGATTCTGTTGCAGAACTACGACTGCTACGAGCGGCTCCCTCAATCACATTATTGTCGTCTGTCTCATGCTGGACAGGTAACTCAAAGTCAGACATCGCTTCCTCTGTCACAAAAAGTCGTTTCGGCTTACAACGTCGTTGTTTTTTGTAAGTTTTTGTCACGTTTATGCTGTACCCTTCCAGAAACTCTGACCCCTGAAACCAAATAGAATAAGAAATAGAATAAGAATATATGTAGGAGTTATACAAAAACAGAGTTACTTATAATAACGAAAACAGGAATACAAAAAAATACAAGTGATAAAAAAATATAATAAATTACGACATTAATTAAATAACGTTCGAAGGATAACATAGAAAACGTAAAAATATGCAGGAAAATGGCATGAGATGCGAATGAAAATTCGAAAGCTTGTTAGAGAGCTGTTACAGAAAGGACCGACCTTCTTCTATGCTGCAAGTGGAAACAAAAACATATTGTCTACAATTAAACTCAGCAGAGTTTTGTATTTTAATTGCATTCTCCAAACTTAAGAATAGCAAAAAACGAGTCAAACCGGCACTATAACATCAATTTCCAAGTTGTGTTGAATATTTTATTTTAAAAATTAATGTTTATATTCAAAATTGTAATTAATATTTATTAATCTTATTCAAAGAATAGTTATCTGCACAAACCTAACAGACGGATTCAATGTTTCCAACATTTTTGTTACTAACGGCGACGTCCACAGTAAAGTAAAAGATGTAATAAAGTTTAAACAGATATGAATAACAAGTTTTTTGCTTTAAGGCATTTGAACGAAAAAGGTTCCTAAAGGATAGTTTCGACTTTACAAAAACAGAAAGAAAACTTTTGAAATGGTTTAAAAAAAACCGAATGAGGGCAGATATAACACAAAGCCAGCTGATGCTGCCCCTGATTAAAAAATTGGCGTATCAAACTAAATGAATCAAATTCTGTTCAGGTAACAGTTACTACAAAGCGTTCTACCTGGCTGACTATTTAATGAACAATATCCAATTATCAAAACCTGTAGAAACAAAATACTTGGGAATACACCTGAATTGTAAACTAACTTGGCGAACGCATATAATCAAAAAACGTAAACCCATGGGTCTCAAATTGCGAAACTTATTTTAGTTTTTCAGTCGAAAATCAAAACTGTCATTCTGTCAATCAAACTGCTTATATACAAAACTGACTGAAACCTATGTAGAGTTATGGAGTCCAATTATGGAGCACTGCTACAGATTGAAATCTGGCAATTATCTAGCGGTTCCAATCTAAAACACTACGCATGATCACAAATGTATCTCGGTATATAACGAATGAACAGCTGCATAATTAACTACTAATTGTTCCGGCAATCAAAGAAGAAATATCCCGAAATATGAAGAACTATGCTCATTGCATATGCATATATGCCTACTGATTACGCACCTGATGTCCCCTTCCAACAATTTTATTAGACTGAGAAGAAAATTTTTGAGAGACAATTTAGATATGCATATGTAGAGCAAACATTTTTATTTTAAGTATATATGGATGTCACTGGGCATAATCCAAAAGCGCATTTTTTTTAGCTGGTAGTCATTATTACTTATTATAAAATAAATGGATACCAAAAAAAAAGAAACGTATATTTTTATCAATACATCTATATATATCCACCCAGCGATGCTATTGGCATAACAGCTGGAACAGCAGAGGTATATCCATCTCGGTCTTCTTGTACTAGAGTCAAACTTTCTTAATTTTCCTTCACCCACGGCAAATAGAAACCTAACTGTCTCACGATGTTCTAAACCTAACTCACATATCACTTTAATTGACGAACGGCCGAACTCTTGGGACCAGACTCGATGAGTCGACATCGAGGCTCCAAACGGTGTTGCATAATCCATCATTTTATAATAATGTATGATAGTATGATTGATAAAAAATCGAAATGGTAGTTTTGTTAAAATTGATATTCATTAAGAATATTCCATAAATTGTTTTTTAGCATTACGTTCCAAGATTTGGTTCTATACAAAAGAAAGAATAAATCAAGTTACAAATAATGCCTCTAAATAAAAAAAAATACAATTAATTAATTCAATTATTCTACGGCTGATTCTAATATAAACCCAGCAAGTAATTTTGTTAGTAAAACTTTCACAGCAAATTAACAAAACTTCAGAAAAAATGTGCGAACATAAAGAGTCAAGTACGGCTTTGGATCAGTTGGTTAAGGTGCGCTGACTCTGAGCTTCAAATTTGGCAGGTCCCGAGTTCGATTCCTGGTACTTGCAGTCTCCAAAAATTATTTACGAATAATTAAATACAAGAATTATTTCCAAGACCACTGATGATGGATATTTGGCAATACTCGAAACAGCTGTATGGTCAGCCAAATATTCAATTAATTAAAATAATATAAAAATGAATTTTGTTTATGTAGCTCACTACTGTTCGAAAAACCTCTTTATAAATTGTTTTTACAATTATGCATTACAAATGTCCATAAAAATAAATAGATACAGCTTCCTTGAAAATCCGAAAAATCAATGAAAACGCAATAAACTCATCAAAAGTAGTAGAACGTGAAATGGATGGGAAATCAAGCGAGTAAGTTTTTGAACAAAAAATTAAAACAATTTCAAATATCCTACATTTTCCTAATTCACAAAGTTGCGCCAAGGAGATGTACTTCCATCCATGGCTACAGTTTATTTTCTTTGGCTTGGAAACAACAATGATATTAGTTTTTTAAATGAATTGTCTGTACAAGCATATTTCTGTTAGTTCGCTTGTCATCAGGTCTGCACTTGTTCGTATTACATAACCCATTTGTGTGGGTCCGTACATATACGTGTAGTCACCTCTTGGGAGCTCAACAAGCAAGTGCTTTATCTGCTACACACAGGTAGTTTCCAATGAGTTTGAAAGGTTCGTAGGCACAGGTAATTCCGAAATGCAGTGTAGGAAGCATTGACAGCCTCGGTGCCATTAATTGCACTGTGCAAAGTGTGGTTTCCATCCCTCATCATTGCTGTTTAGTAGACTGTGCAAGTCGAGCATTTATAGTTACATTTTGTATATTTGCTTTATATAGTAAACGAAAATAATTCGAACGGAAAAATTATACTTTTCTTTAAAGTTCTTTCAATTAAGCTGATTATACGAAGGAATGGTTAAAAACGATGTGGAGTAGGAAGTGTAAAAAATTGGTGTGAATATGTACATTAAACTTTAATTTTAACCCAATTATTAGAAATTGCAATGAGAAAATAAATGTTCTGTAAAAGTAATGAAAAAAAATGGAAAAACTAAAAAGAGTTGATAAAATATGCAAATATTTCTTAAGGACTTCAACAATTACATCACTCGAATTTAGACATTTTAACAAATTTTAATTCTCATTTACTTAAAATATGCTAAAAAATACTTGTTTTCTTTATATGTATGCTGCTCCATTTCTTCTTTGACAATTTAACTATTCATACATTTTAATTAAATTCTAATATTTTCAGGCTATGCCGAAACTTAATACTTTACGCTTATATCTGTATAGAGCAGGGCTGTTCAGGCTAGATGTGGTCGCCGGCCAATACAAATCACTGCATAGATTGGGGGGCCGCAGAAACAAATACACACGTTCAAAGTTGTTTTTAACAGAAATAAAAATACGGTAATAATATTTTTCTTATATATGACTATTTTAGGAATTAACTTATATGGATTTTAGAGTCAAATTTAAATCTGTCTGGAAGAAGTTCAGTATATCAAATTCTAACCAAATTCATCACCTACGAAACTTTAAATAATGAGTCATGCTTTAATAATAAGAAATATAGCAATCAAGCACAATTTGCTTTAATTAGATATATTATCCAATCTAACACATTCTGAAAAATATTCCAGGATCGTTCTCATAACGCACATAAATTGCGACACTTCATTACTGTGTCTTGAAAACTGAGAGTTTAGCTAATCCTACTAACAGCTTAGAAAACTCAAAACAAATATTTTCTAATTTTAATAAACGATAAATAGAGTTTTTTGATTCTTCATTTACATGGAGAAATTTAGAACCGTGCGCCAAAACCGTCTCCCTCATGCCCAACTATTGAATAGATCCAACCTTTGAATTATTGATATTTGAATATAGATATAATACTACAAGTATAATACAAACAATTGCGAATTTCCGTTTTAAAGATTTTTAGCACAGATTTTAAGGCGCACATCTTGAGTATGACTTATTCATAAAGAAAATCTGTAAAATTACAGGGAGGGTATCCGTTAACAAGACTTGACTTATTATATGCAAACCTTTCAATAGCTTGTTCTCTAAACGAAAAAAAGACGTCTATTATTTGCATGAGATAAAATTCTTTTTAAATATTAGTTGACATTTTTATTAAAACGGTATCTAAGTTTCAAAAAACTATTTTTAATATGTGTACGAGAGCTACCTTTTAAGTTTTGAGCCTAACAATGGAAACACGAGAAAAATCTTTTATTGTTTAGCGAAGCATTCTCCATGACGATGAATACATTTTTGCGTTCGATTTTGGTATCTCCAAAACAAGTGTTTTCGATGTTTCAACGGCCAGTTCGGTCGTAGAAAACGCTCGCCACTCATTTTCTTCTAGCTGTTTGGAAACAGTTTGTCATTGGTTCCCAAGTGGGGACTGTACGACAGTTGACCTATTATTTTAACGTTTCTCTTATGTATGTTGTTGAAGTGGTACAGTTGCGATATGACCGATTTTTCTAAAAAAACATGCGACCGTTTGTTTGAATTTGTTTTTCCGACAAATTTTGAATTTGCTCCTCCGACAACTTTTGTCGGATTCTGCTTACTTTGGAAGAGCCAAATAGGGGATTGCTATTTTGTTTGCGCTTAAAGGTAGATCCATATATTGTTACCTAGCACCAATCAACACATACCATCACGTAACAAAAAGTATTTCGATGTGTATTGACAAAAGGAATGTCTGATGTCTGTTTGGTGGAATTTTAAAGAAATGAATTTTTATAAACTTTACACGGACTAAACAATAATCAATTTTGAAGTGTACTGTCATTAGTTGGAAAAACTAAATGGTTTAAGAGAAAAGGTCAAAATTGACCAATACAAAAGGTGTAGTCATTCACTAAGACAATGCGAGACCTAATACTAGTTTGGTAACTCGGTAACTCCAGATGTAGTAATTATTGTAATTATTGTTAACTCCCTTCATACAACATTTTTGCTTAAAGTAGTTTTATGTTCGAATAAAACAATCAGAAAGATGACAAATGATATTGGATCAGAATGGACATTATATAATATAATAAAATATTTATGGACTATAAGAAAATTGGATTTTATTTTTATAAAAAAAAATAAACAATTTTCCGAACATCCTATTATTTTTATATATAAAATAATTCATTTTGTACTCGTGATGTAAGGAATTACATTTACTATTATATCTACAATCGACATCTGCATTTCAAAGAACATTATGTAAATATTTAAATTTACATATTATATATATTTATATTATATTTATATATATGTACAATAATATATTATATATATATATATATATATATATATATTATATTATATTATATATATTATTAAAATAAATATTAAATTTTAAGTTTTAAGATCTGGTACCAACTTAAAATGAAAATGAAATAAATAGAATATATTAATCAAAATTAAAATTTAGTTGAAGTTATGATAGTAACAAACCGGTATAACATGATTTTTAGCACCCCAACAGAGAGGCTTAAAAGATCCAGTTCTAGTAGCTTCCTGAAATTCATTGAAATGGTTCTGCCAATCATAAGTAATAAGCCTGGTTTCTAGTGTCATGCCAGCTAGTTCCGGTGGTGACGATATTAGAACCGGGTTTGAATCACTAAAAATAAAAAACATTGATCAATAGTATTAATGTATTATATTTTTGTTTTAATTGTTGAAAATGAGGTATGTTCTGTTTTGTGTGATATTTTTAACATTACAAGAAACTTGTTAAAGAAAAACGAATAAGAATTATGCTCAACAAGTACGCAGCCCAAGGAGTTAATACTACCCACAATTAGGCAAGTTTTCTTCCCTTCCCTTTGTTTGCAGATGTTGTGGCATAAATTGTCCTGTTTTAAATTGCTATTTTAATAAGCTCGACAAACCGCATAAATCCCTCTTAATTAATTTATATATCTTTTTAATCCAACTTAATACTATGGGTGGTGGGGAAAATAGAGGGTGAATTTTGTAATATACTTTGAGAGTGTTTGTCATTTTGTGGTTGCATTTCTTCAAAACAATTACAATCAAAATAAAAGTAAGCATAAGAGTAATTAAAATATAGTCTGAACTATTATAAATTATTTGTAAGTTTGATGGTAACTAACAAAGAGGAGGATTATAAACTTAAATTAAAATATAGGATTCCACAGTTTACAGGAATACTGGTCTCAAATTGGTCCGCTGCACATGTGCGTATGTATGCGAAACGGCTTTGTTGTCAATTGCATCAACTAAAATTATGGAGCTACCATGTGTAGCTTAAGGCCATGTTACCTAATTATACCAAAATCTAAATACAATAGATTGTGTATTATGGCGCTTGTGGCTGTTATCGAGACGTATATATCGCTATAGAAAATGTCCTAGACCAGTAAAAAATTCAACGACGGCTTTACTAGCAGCAGTGGCCGTGCGCAAATTGTGTGATTGTGGTTTCACTATGGCTTTTGGCCACAACTTAAGTTGGTCGTACTGAACATGAATTGATGATGCCATTTGTAATTGGTAGATGTCATTTGTTTCGTTGTTATTTCAATTGTCGCATTTACCTCGACGAGTGTTGAACTCAATGCGTGAATGAAATACGAGGAAAGATAATTGATGGCAAAATATTCGCAATAAAGTCATGTTGGTCACCAAAGCTGATTTTACCTAAAGTTTAATTAAACTGCGCCAATACTTTGAATAGCAATAAAATAAAGGCAAAACAAACTAACACCTGCATAGACCTAAGCTCAACAATGTATCATGGTATATTTCTCTTTGACGGTTCAATGCTGTAATTAACATTTTCAATTCAGAATTTAACTAACAATGTGGTCATAAGATCATTCACTCAAACACTAATACTAAGCGCTACACTTATTTCAGAATTGTTTTTAAAACTGCAATCGATTTTGCTTAAAGCGCATATTTTAATTAAAAATTAATTTGATTTTGATATTGTTTACAGGGCTTTCTTGAAGTCCAATTAAATTGCATTCTAAATGTCTGTATTTAATAAAATGTGAATTAGAAGCATATAATTGTGATTTATATCACAATATGGAGAATATTGTTGTGTTTCGTTTATGGTCCAGCTAATTTTTTTGCTACCTATAGTAGCTTTAAAAAACTATTTTTAATTCTTCTTTGTTAACATTTATGTTATATATATTTCCTTCGATTACCCTAAAACCTCCTGAACTAGCTTCAATAATTTGCAGAAAACAGTAAAAAGATATCTAAACGACCTATAATATTAAGTTTTTTAAGCAAATTAATAATAGGTCTTTTCTTTTGTAAGCATATCGCAAAAGAAAAACATTAAATAAGCATATCTCTTGCTGGCAACTCTGGAAGAACCGAAAATTTTGTTAGGCTTATATATGCAAGACTAGAAAGTTTAAAATTCGAAATTGAATAATAAGTCTTTGCAATTATAGGTAAAAATGTTGTATTTTTTACATGATTGTGAAAAAAAATTTGTTATTTTCAGGCTTTTCCAAAAATTAAATATATTTTCTTAATTCCATTAAATTAAAAAGGGCTGTGCAAAAAATATACAATAGATATGATACAAAGGTGTCAAAACAAACCACTTAGGGATGCAGTTAACGCTCTGTGGCATGTACGAAATGCTGATCTACATCGTGACCTTGAAATACCTACTGTCAAGCAAGAAATCCAGAAGGCTGCTAAAACACATTATGATAACACTTAGTGAACACTGAGTGAGCATTTAGGCAGCACTATTACTATGTTATGTTACACACAGACGCCTAAGTCACTTCAAACCAACCTTTTGACGCGTTCCAATCAGCAGGAAGGTGACTAGATTAGACCTACATGCTCAGTTTAAATAAGTAACATTACTTGTAATATATTAAATTAAAAACCTCTTGTTAGTCAATATGATTAGTTGTTGTTATTTAAACTTTGCACTTCGTTTAAATATAACAAAAAAAAAATAAATAAATTAAAAAGAATTGAGTATTATTTGTCAAATATTTGTTGACAAGTAACTGTAAATATTGTTCGTACTTCCAAAAATCGTTTATATTAGATGAAATTTTAGGCTTGGCAACCATGCGATTTAAGCTGCTTGTTAGTTAAGCAGTTTAAAAAAAGTTAGACTAAATAAGCCATCAGTGTTGTTGTTTCATATGTTATTTTTAAAATAAGCGGTTGTTCTTTTGTCATATACTTACAAAAGAAAAGTTCTATTGTGGTTAATTATTGTATGTTCTATAAACAAATGGTTATTATGGCTATCACGAGTGACCATAATAATTCAAGTGGCATTTAGTGGAGACGGCAGAATTTACATACATATATGCCACAAAATATTGCAACCACATTACAAAAATGCGCGAATTATTATTATTATTGATATTCTTATATTCAATGGACGTAACTAAGAATATAGTCTGTCAACGCATGATTTGTTTAAATTAAGAAACTGTAATTTGAAACTGTCTAAGTTCACTTAAGGATTTGGTTGACACATTCTTGATATTCCTTTGCTGGGTTAACTTGAATAAATAGAGGACTTGTCGCTGAATATTTCTTATTTCTTCTACTTTCCTTGTTTTGTTTCATGTGATAGTACAATCAAATCACATATGGCTTTGAATTTCCTTCTGATATATCAGACTATAGTACTTCAGTGCGTTTCAGTGCAGTTTTTAGATCTGAACTTTTGAACCATTTTCACAAAGTATACTGCTATTCTTAGCTAATTGCTGTTGTTTGCATTAATCTGCAAAGATGTTGCTGAATGGAAGAATATCATCAGCGTATGACAGATTAGTTTCCAATTTATGCCATACGTTTTGAACAATTCAAAAGCATATCAAAGCAAAAATTCTGTTTGATTTGGATAGATTATATTACAGTACGCCCAGTATACGGCAAAGTAAACGTTTATACATATTTTTAATAATATTGATTACTTTACTAAGGATACTGTGAGTAGAGAGTGTAAATCTATTCCCTAAATAATGGGAATAGTCAATTAACGCCATATAAAAAATAGAGTTGTGGTTGGCTGATGGCTGTATTAGTTTTTTAGCCATCTAAATCTTATTGATGCATGAATACATGGGCCTGACTTGCTTCAAATATAGTAACACTAAAAAAATATATGGGTTATCTAAAGCTGATAGCAGACCTATAAACAGAATTATTTGACAAATTACTTTTCCAAGAAAAAATGCCTTAAATCTTCAGTAACTTTTATAAATTGTGGATGTTTATATTCAAAATCAGTGCTTCATAAAAAATTAAAGTGTCAATATAATTTTTAATTAAATTGCTGCTGCAAAATTATTGAGTGAGGAAATTTAATGCGATACATCAGTTACCGGATATTCCGAAAAATACATAGAATGAAGAATAAAAAATATCACGTCACTGACAATGGGGTCATATAATAACACGTGTTACATTATTTCTTGGATCCAAAAGAGCAAAAATATAGCCTGAAACCGTTATTTATCTGGGCAACCAATAACTAATAGACGAATTTGTTGTCAACATAAACTCCAGAAACAAAGTTGTTTGGCCACCACGATCTAAGACCGCAGAGACTCTTTTTGTGGTAATATCGAACTCTTTGGTTTATGCGACTTAGCTGAATTGGAATATAATATTGAGCGTATTATTCGTGAGAAATGTGCACTCAATTGATTTTGTCTGGATTGAAAAAGTTTTGGAAAATTGATTTTCAACGATACAGTTTCTGGGACAAAAATAAGTCCGAAATCATTTTTCATCAATAATGTGAAAAAATACATATCTACTAAATGAAAGACAATTGTTGCTCTTCATTTATTTCACTTAAAACATTCAGCTAGAGTATTATCACTGTTCTTCTTCTTACGGCTTTTGACTACTTTAAGTGCTGCTTCTTACTTCAACCATTAAATGCATTTACAGGCATTTGATAACATCTCTTTTGATGGCGTCGCGTTCATATACTTTTCTACACTTTTATTGTATATTGCATCCAGGGTCTATCCAAAGAATGTTGTTCGTATAGTTAATTGATTTTCTTTATGTTTATATAGTATTTTATTTTTATTTTCTTTCACTGTGACTTTATATATTCTGTTTCAGCTGCAATTTGAGTAACTCTTCCGTGATCGTGGCCCATTATTTTAGAATTAATTATATCATAATTTTAGGGCTAGTCCTACTCTCTTCTGTCTACTACAGCAAGAACCTTGTTTTTGTTTTACTTTTATGAAATCCTCACTATCATTACATCTGTCGGGTTAATTGAATTTGAGTCCGAATATAAAAATATAACAGCATTTAGAAACATTGGAGCTCTCAATATTATTTACAAAAACATATGCAAAATATTTAGTTAGATTGATAGGAGATCCATATCCTTTTGCTCATTACTAGCTTTATGGTGAAATGAATGAATGAGAATGTCTTTAGATTACGTATTCTGTTCTTCACGGAATTGGTAAAGAAATGGTGTTAGTGTACTTCTTTAGGTTTCATCAAACCATGGCAAAAATCTGACTTCTATAGACTTTGACGACCTTGGAGTAGATCTGGCTCCACTGAAAGCATTAGCTTTTTATTTAACTTGAATAATGAGTATTTCAGTTATATTTATATACAGTTATATTTCTGTAGATTTTGTTGGTTGCGGTGTGATTCTAACTTTTCAATAAGGATATGTATACAAACAAAACAATTAGGTAATAAAAAAATAACTAACACTAAAAGCACTAACGAATGAGAAATGCATACAAAATCAATACTTTATGTAAAAGTGAAGTAGGTGAAATGCTTTAAAAATTACTATTTTATAAAACTTACGTAGCCAACTGTTCTATACCCAGAGAATGAAGGACTGTGGGCAAACTAGGCAAAGAATGACATGTTGTAAGCTTTTTCTGGCGCGGGTAGTAGAGCGTAAGCACCGTGCAACTTTCCTCCTTCATAGTTAGTCCACCTACAAAATAAAGAAAGTGATTACAGTTAAAATTTTTACCACAAGAAACGTGAAATAATTGCGAAACCATAAATTCGCACAAGTTTAATAAACTATTATAAATCGGTTTATTGTTAGTAGTGGGTGTGGTCCGACGTTTTGATTGCCACAATTGCTGCACACCACAATTGTGGTTGATGCAGTGGCACAACCGATTTATGTTTACCATAGCGTTTTATGTTTAAATGCACAATTTTCTTGCCATTACTAACTTGAGTTTACCTACCTAGAGTAATTGCTTTCCGTGACGAACTATCATAAATACATTCTGCAATCAGTCTATCTCCTGGCAATGAACGCACCGGGACAGGCAGACGACGGAAGTCCTCATAAGCAATGTCAATATTGCTGTCGTGTGCAATTGGAATAAATTCTTCAGTTTGTCGAATCTGTAAAAATAAAATTAAAGATTATAAGTTTAGTGAAAAACAACGTTCTGTCAACAGTTTTAAGTATATCTTTTAACTGAAGCAGTGAAATTTAGTTATTACTGTAAAAAATTTTGTTCTTTAATATTTGCATACAAAGTTTTGATAATTACCTGACGTAGCTTCACTTCCCTTCCAATTTGGTGTGTGCGCATCATCACAGCAAAAATATTGACACCTTGAGGTGGAAAAGCGTGTGCTGTGCAATCCTCAATACACTGACCTTCGGAAACAACATATTTTTGGCCTGGTGGTATTATGTGTCGCCAGTTCGGATCCATTCCTTAAATAAGATACATTTTTAACGTAATTAAACAAAATTTTGAAATTTTTTTCTATCAAGAGAATATAAGCCTTTTATAATATCGGCTACTTTACTCACAAAAACATGTAATAGACGATAAGAAAATGTCAAAGAATAGAAAATATGTCTTTTATAATATTCGCTGCTTTATTCACACATAATATGATAGACGATCATATGCTTTTATTCAAAAAATGGATAATAGAAATATACACAAAACTAATCAATTGTTTTATGTCTAAGTGAAGAAATATAGAACCTTAAAGACTAAAAAAAATTAATTTTATTTGCCACACAAGAACTTCTGTTTAAGAAAATTAGTATGCTATTGTAATATTTTTATTAGTATATCATATCTTCACCACTCCAAACATGTTGTATATAGGTATGTATTTCGACTAGTTTGAATATTATTCTTTTCAATGATATCAATTAAATTTTCTTTGAATGTTGAGGCTAGTTGAGTCAGTGCACTTGAACACTTTTACTCTCTACTAACTGCGAGGTTTCTTCATAACCCCTCTCTACGACTTACCTGGATTATTGTTTATCACTTCATCTGATTAAACAATAACTGACCTCAGATCTGCATTCCTCCCCGAGGAGCCTGTAATCATTCTAAGATTTGGAAGCGCGGTGTTGGTACACCTGTCCGTTTTCGTAAATAGTTTCAGGGCTTTATCCTTTATGTATTTTTTGATCAGTGTACCTCTGAATTCAACTTTTGTCAAAACTTTTTGAATGAAAATTTACTTTTTAACTATCGTAAATGTTAATAAAAGCTATATTATTTTTGTAAATGTAATTGTAATGTGATAACCGAGACGTTGAAAAGTATATAAACCATATACATGTCGCAATTGGCGGCGGGCAGTAAAATGAAAACGAAAAAACTGGCAACGCTGCTAGTTTTTTGATGGTTTTGAGTTGGAAAGGGCGAGTGATGTTGACGGGCGTAAAATACATTGAAATAATTTTGTTTTGTAGTAAAATATTATTGTAAAAATATTAATAAAATTTATTTATCATTAAATTAAATAAAGTTTTTCCTACATACATATATTCTTGATCAAAATGTTAGAGTGAATCGATGTAACCAGGCGGATAAAGTTTGAATATGAATGAAACAGATTCCAAATAAGTATCTGATGCCTTATTGTTATTTAAGTCTTTGGTGATAACAATTAATAACTAAGATTTTCCTAATAACTAGAATGGATACGTATGCAATTCTAAGTGTAGATTGTTCAGTTCACCATTATAACCAATAACCTATGAGAAGGTACGTTGTCTTGATGAAATTCTACATTTCTTTCTCACTTCGGTTTTATTGTGTTTTACGGCGTTGTTGTTCTTTAGTCGCACCAGTAACTATATATAATATTAGCTATTAATGATACTTCGTTTTCCCAGATGAGTCCCAAAATATAAATGCCTGCTAATTGTTGCGCCTTTGCCAGTTTTGCACGGTTTTCAGCGGTTGCCGTCCACTCAACTGATAGGCGTATCGACTCTGGAGTGAAATGGAGGATACATGTTACTCATTGTCACATATTGACGCAAAAAATATATGAAAAACTCTTTTTATTTTATTTTTAACAGCTCTCTGAATAGTCGACGGGTTGTTGCTTTTGGTCGATTGTGAGCACACGCTACACCCATTTTGAAAGCAACTTTCAATTTGTCTCAAGGACATATATTTTTAAAAAATTAGCTCTACATTTTTCTTTAAATTGTTAAGTGTGTAACCTATTTTCTGAAATTTTACTTCAAGATTTTCAAAACAATTTTGTGGATTTTTTTGAAGTTTTCCGCTGCAACTGCTTCGGTTGGACGGTCAGATCGTGCTGCATCTTCAGAGTTCAATGGTTGCTTTCGATTAAGCAGAGTTCAGATAATATTTATTTAGTCAAGGTTTAGCTTGAACGGTATTTTCTTCCATAAAAAAAGTAATTAAAAAATAACACATTAAATTGCTTTCAAAATTGGCATCACTGAAACCACAGTAACTAAACGTCATATTGTGATGAAACTTTAAATGTGATTGTTTGAAAGTATGTACTTCATAATAGTATATGGTTATATTCATAAACACGCGATCTATATATAAAACTTGGGGCTTTTCGGTGGATATAGTGCTACGATAGTGGTTTAAAGTGTTCGTGCATTACGCAGGTCCGTTAGTTCAAATATACTTAAAATTAAACATTTGGATCGAACACTTTAAGATAAGAACACTGTAAAATAATTTTCGAGTTATTCAAAAATTGTAATATTAACATAAAAATAGTGCCAGTAAATCAATCAATTAGGCTATTTGGATATAAAATACTATTGATATACTGTCTGGCTTTTATGGACGCTATTTATAAACTCAAATTTCTAGGGGTGATTGATCCACCCTATATGATAAAAAAAAAACATCGAAATTAAAAGTTAAATTGAAATGTAGAGCTCAATGAACAACACATCCCATGACAACTTTTAATTCACTTACACGACAATAAAAAGTTTTAGTTACAAAAAATAACGAATTGAAATCAATTTAAAGCGTTTTCAATAAAAACTATTTTTTATTGAATTTTCGGTTTTAAGGTTACTAACAATCGCATCGTGATGACTGCTCATGTTTTGGTAAAATAATTTACTTTTAATTGGCGTCAGCAAACTCATATATATGTTTATCGACTAGAGCACGTGACCGTAAAACTGTAAATTTTTATTTCAAATTTAATTATAGCTATTAACGAATTTCTTCCATTCTGCAAATCCCAACATGTGGACAAAATTTTTCTGTACAGTCCGTGTAGCGAGATATATGAAATCTGTTATCGAAAACCTGCACCGAAATCATATATGCAACCTAACTGAATTTGTCTATGCAAATATATTGCAGTTTGCACAAAATCTATTAAACTTTTAAACTTTTAATGTTGTTTTCCTTTTCCTACGAATACATTCAGATTATCTGGTTGCCAAATTTAACCAGCCAAATACATTTGATTGCATGCTGTAAACAGTGTTCCTCAATTAACAGTTCAACTTTTACAAGTTCTCTCCTTTCTCTGGAATTTCAATTTAGAAATTAGAAATATGCATATATTAGAGATCAGAGATCAATATTGCAGTCCTTTAGTTTTCATGGTGTAAGCACAGGTCTTCATGCTTCAACACTATATTATTGTGTAGCAAATTTAAAAGAAACTACTTTATAAGTTCCTACAATTTATATGACTATTAACACAATTTGTTGCCTTTATATAAAAATATCGTTCAAATCATATAATTCAATAAATTTGAGCTTATCTGTCTTTGGTAGTCCCGTACTACACTAATACAGGGACACCATATAATAATCGTATGTATACTTATTTAAGTCGATCTTTACCATATTTACAATGAAATGTAAGGTAGAAGTGAAGAAATTAGCTAATAACAACTACTCAGCAACGTCCCACTACAATAACTTTTAATCTGATATTAAAGAGTGCAGTACCAGACCCTCACAGATTGACATGTTTTGATTTTTTGCGTAAACAATTTACCGGACCTGTGATTTCATGTTTTAGTGGTATTAATTAACCACCAATATCATGAGATCTGTTAAGAATGAACAATTACTGGTGTATAAAATTTTGTAATAGATTCAGTAGAAATAAGCCTTTGGTTCTAAACCTGGGATATCCATTTGACTAGAATTAAAAAACAGTTCTTCATCCATATATTGAAAAGCGCTCGCCAGATTTAATTTTTATTCCCATTTTCAGACTTAGCGTGCCAAATAATGTAGAAATGACTTAGTTATGGTTAATTAACACGACATTTATTACCATTAAACTTAATATTATTAAGTTTGAAATAAGAATTTTTGTTTTTCTATTGCAATACTTAGCTTTTTTTATATTTTTAAAATATTAGCTATTACTTTTTTATTTTTTTATTGATTAAAATCTCAAAAGAAAGAGTTTCTCTACTTTATGTACATCAAATTAAAATATTTAGTTATAAAAATAAAACAATTTGATAAATAAACAAGAGTAAATATGGATATGTCTATAAGTACTGAATTTTCTTATATTTGTTTCGCAACCATTGTTTATTCTAAACAATGGGTCTTTGGATTTAGTGTACCTCTACTTTCTATTTTCTAGAATACGAAGAGAAGTACTTTGAATATAAAAATTGTATGTCAACATTCACTACATAAAATGTAAAAATTGGATACAGTTCCTCCTTTTAATGAGATTATGGAAGATTGTATGAAAGCATTTGATAGAGTAACAGTATGGAAATTCGATTCTTAAGATTAGAAATTGTCTCGAGGCAGAGGTTTTATTGTTAGCAATAATAAGCGTAGTGTTCCAAATGGATGCAATGTGTATTCTATATAAGTGTTGTATATAAGTGTTATATAAGTGTAGAGACATTCCTTAGAAATTCTTGACACTGCTTGTAAGGTTCAATACGATTAGAAAGTTGGATTTCAGCTTGAACTGCCTTTCAGCTAGGCATCTAATTTCTATATATACTTTCAAAAACGTGAAAATATGCAAATTTGTCATATTCCATAGCAAAATACTATGTAAGTATAAAATGTAATAACATATAATAGTAGGATTAAATGATCTCAACCTCGATAATTCCCGTCATCAGAACAGTGACGACTGCTCTAAGGTGCGGAGGTGTGCGGCGCACACCTAACATAATCTGCATATCTTTACATTAAAAATTAATATTGTTTATTACATTTTCATATATATATTTTTAAAGATCAAAGTTTTAGCAGAAACAATTAAATATTATTGTCTATGAAAACTCATTTAATGTGCTTCTCTTAGCTACTAAAGTCGTTAGTTGTGCTCATAAGTTTGCAGCTCACATCACCATACATTTCTTTCAAATTTCGTCTCTTCCCTTTTAGCTGTTACTCCAGCGAATAATAAACGCTTGGTGTGCGGAGTAGCTGGCCGCACATTTATACGTTGCAAGTACTATGTTCGATTGTGTTTGATCACTGCATGAACATGTATGGTTCTAAATAGAAAGTCTTTTGTTTGAAAAAAGTTGGTTTGATGTTATAAGATATATGTGAAAAGCTGTATTTATTCCATATTGATATAATATTAAACTTATATATAAATTATTTATTTAATTTGTTTAATATGTTATTTTGTTAATAAATTATTAAATGTTATATTGTGAATATATTGTTGCCTAATGTAATACAGTTATCATTAATAAAACATCTTATATATTTCAATTCATCATTTTTAATTTAAGTGGTACATGTAAAAATAAAATTGTAGAAGGGCCGCACACCATTCCAGATATGGCACGCGTCGCCACTGCATCAGAGGTAGCATTAATTAAAGAGTTAAATTACATAATTTCAAACATAGTTATTAAAAACTATTGACGCTTTGGTAAAATCTCAATCTTAGTAAATGCAAAAAAGCAAAAAAACTTTAAATGAGCTGGAATGGCCCCGTTCAAAGCCACCAAAATTGGTTTTTCATTACTCAACCTAACGTTATTTGGGAGAAAAATATTAATTTGCAAGTAAAACGTTTTGCATCTATTAAAGAAATAAAGTCATCAAGGTGCTATTGATAGTGCTATTGATTGAAAATAGTCGAGTTCCGGTAAAACTGCCATTTAAAGATAACCTCTCTGTTTCAGGTTGTTTCTGTTTCAACTATATAACCATATATTATTCATACCAATAAATTATTTTCGAATTTATTAGTCCGCAATTACTACAGGAATAGTCAAAATTTGTAGAATGATGATTATAAATACACTAATTCCATCGAGGCAAACACGTGTGTATTATGCTGCACTGATGATAATTTCGAACTAGAACTAAACTCTACATCATTAATATTTAAAAAAGAAAGATGATTTAAATTACCAAATCTTCAATTAAATAACTTTTCTATCTTTGATTCGATTAGTTTAGTTAGTAAAGTTGACTGCGATGACAAGTTTCCCCAGAAACAAAGAATTTCATTACAGATTTTAACAGCGATTTGAAGAATTTGCACAAGTTACAGGTATATACTTCGATTTGTATTAAGAAGTTTGTGAGTTATAACAGAAGAATATTTCTTTGAAAAAGGATTCTTTAGTAATCTAGCATTGGTTAAAAATTCATTCATCAACTCATCAACAAAATAGTATTGGAACAAACAACTGGGGGCTGCCTTTAAAATTGCTTACGATCCCGCAGATACGTAATACGTGACACCATTCATCATGAAATTAGGTCTTTTATTCTTAATTTGATTCTCTGCTCAAGGATGTATATTTAAAAATCAAATGTCGAGTACTTTGTTTTAAAATAAAGATACAGAAGTAAATGATGAAATTCGAAAGATATTACTGTTTCATATACAAGTAGACAATGGTATATTGGATTTTAAAGAGCAAACTAGTATTTATAAACAAATTTTAGATGTCATCAGTCGTCGACACCAGTATCGAAATAAATATTTATTAAAACACAGATATGATTAATTTATTGAAATTTGGTTGACCATACAACGCTATTTCGAGTATAGATAAGCACTCTTCATCAATGATATTAAGAAATATTCGAATTTTTATTCAATTAATTTATAGTCCGTATATTATTTGAACTTAGAACTTTGAACTTAGAACTTATTTGAACTTAGCTTAGAACTTTTCTAACGACCTTTTTAACTCGTAAATATTTAATTAAATATTTGAATGTGATTTAATTAATAAATTGTTTAATAAAAATAAATCAATTAGGACAATTTGGTACTTCTTTTTTATTGCGCTTGTCCACATCTGCTTCCTATATCGCATATATTATTTAAGTGAATAAAAAAATTTAAATTGTATTGTTGTTGTTATTCACTTACCTATGGAGAGTACACCAGCGTCGTTTGAGCGCAGGACTTGGGTAAAAAATATTTTGAGTCCAGAATTGTCAGCCATTTGCCGCGGATGCAAGTGTGCTAAATCGGGCTGTGAATTGCTATAATGCGTTTCCATTAAATAATATTTAGCTTGTCTCGACTCTATTGGGTAGCCCACTTCGTCAGGAAATATGAACCCCTAAAAAAAGATAGTCCACGTCATTTATTTATTAGAGCACAAAATTAAATTTTAAACGCGTACAGCTGCTGCATGTAACGTACTCATATATCCCGCTTAATTTCCGCAGTCTATATGCTAATTGTAGTTAAACTTCTTGAAAATCAGATGTAATTAAATACTATTTTAATGTCGCACGAAACCATTGTTTTTTACCACACCGATAAATTTAAAATACGATACAACCAGTTAACTCAAGTTAAACAATGATCAAAATAGTAGTGCTATAATATACTACTTTATTTTTAAGATTTCTGTGGGAGTTGAAAAGAACTTCTTCGAAATAATAACAAACTTACCTCTGACCCACGTGACCACGCTGCGACTATGGTATTACATGTTAATGGCATATCACGAGTACCCATGCATTGACGGCCTTGCTCTCGCGACATCTCTTCAAGATCCTGATTCGTACCTTGACATTCATGTAGCGTAATATGCTGCAGATATTGAATACTGGAGGATGAGTCATAAATTGGTTCATACTGCGGATAATTACAAGGAAGAAACATAAAATTCAAGATTACATTTTGAAGGCATGAAATATAGATGATTATTATAAGCAACGATACTCACTTTAATTAGATGGTGTTTTCTGTTTATATCCTCCAGTTTGAACATTTTGCACCAATAAAGTGTGCTATCCCCACTGGGAAGCTCTACGTCCTCATTACGCAGCTCAAGCAAACGAGTTCTTTCGTCATGGTGCCAGACGGCTTGAGCCCTTTGTGTTAAAACCATGGGATGGTAAGCGCGAAAAGCCTTGGCAGCATCAGGCAGTGTACCAGGATGAACAGAACCGTGTGGTGGGTCTGCTTTGTGAGACATGTACATTAAACGCATTGTATCATTCTAAAAAAATTAATACCAATATTTTATACAATGTAATGTAATAATAATACTTAATATAATTTATACGTTTTATAATGTATTATATATTTTAATTTTTTTAGGCAAATTAGGTATAATTTAATTATAATTTGATAATATTTCAAATTTGCATGTTCAACTTAAGTAATATTTAAATATATCAATTTTATTTAAGATGATCAGTGATTATTCTTAAGTAAACGACATCGCTATTGGTCTTTAGTGATATCATGAAGATTTGAACCTTTATATAGATTTTGTAATAGACATTTTTTTTTTAAATTTAAGAACGAAACCAAGTCAGCTTTATGAACTGACTTTATTTGTCAGTGGCTAACCGCAAAAAAAGTTGCCACAAGTTTCAACTATATTCCAGTCATTTGGTAATTGTTTTATTTAATCAAATAAACGATTAAATATAATGGCTTAATATATGATTGATCAGTCAACTATTCTCTAGTGGATTTTTCTAAAGCCCATAATTGTTTATGAAAGTAATATTACGCGTTACGCATTAACTCATACTAGATGGTCATGACATTCATTGTTTTAAGTTACAATTGATCAGAATATTTAGAAAACTCTAAGGTTTATGAACTTACTAAATATATAAATGATTTATATATATATATATATATATATATATATATATAAATAAGTTATTTTTACAAACAATGAATTTACAAACAAAAAAAACTTCATTGCTTTGTATGAAAAAGCTTATCAAATTTTTTTTAATGAATTAAATGATCGATTTTTTTGCTTGTGATCCTGGAAACAGAAATTTCCTTCTTGATTATCAAAATGAGCTTATATTATAGTAGTATAATATATTACGAGTTATCGAGCTAAATAATATTTTGTGCAAAAGTGGGACTTTAGTAATCAAAACGATGCCTCTACAAACAGAATAGTATTGAAATTTAGCAACTAAAAATAAAAATAAAACATATAATTAATTAATTCAATTATTCTACAACTGCTTTATGATTTCGTTCTAATATAAACACAGCAATTTGTTAATAAAACTTTTACAGTAAATTAACAAAACTCCAGAAAAATGTGGGAACATAAAAATCAAGTACGGCTTTGCGTCAGTTGGTTAAGGAGCGCTGACTCTGAGCTTCAAATTTAACAGAGCACGAGTTCGATTTCTGAAACTTGCAGTCTCAAAAAATTATTTACGAATTGGAAAAGTTCGAAACTTGGCAATACTCGAAACAGCTGTATAGTCAGTCAAAAATTCAATTAATTAAAATAATATAAAATAAATTTTTGTTGTTGTAATTCACCACTGATCGAAAACCTCTTTATAAAACAATAATATAAAATAAATATTCTGCAAGTATTTGTGATTCCATTTAAATTTTAACGGTTACCAAATAATAATAAGAATGGAATGCAAAATTTCAAACGTTTGAGGTGGAACTGGAGTAAAATATGGAGAAGTGTGTTCAAAGACATTTCATACCACTATGTAACGAATGAGCCATGATAAATGTATAGATTTCGTGCTAAGAGATATCTATGAAAGTGTAAAACGGAACAGGCAAGTATTTTGGGAATCGAAGGGGAACTTGGATAAGTTACTATAGCGAAATGATAAAAAAATCAAACAACTGTTATAGACAACGGACAATAGATATAGCGAAAGAAAATGAAGTATGCACAAAGTTCAAGAGTCCTGTAGGAATAGCATTAAAATAAAATAAAAATTGCTGGTATAGCAGAGAGTTTTAAACAACAAAGTCATAAAATAATGTGGACATCATTAATAATATTATTGAGAATAAATATAAAATCAGGGACTTAAGCAGTATTGTCAGAAATAACAAAACTGAAAGGATATCCTATGCCGAAGCAATAAACGACTGTTACCAACTTTAAAAAAACTCGTTTCACTGATAATTAAATCTAAGTGTAAGCAAGACGTAGTAAGAACAAGAAAAATCTTACAAAAACAGGTTGACCCGATAAACCTAAAGACTACCAGCATTCACTCAAAAAGACATAGAAGACATAATGATAACAAAAAATTAAATTAAACGACAAAATTTAAATTTCAAAAGTAATTAAGCCAAGATTTGTTCCTACGCTACAAACTAAAATGAGCTCTTATAGGATTTAAATATAAAGCGAATCAATGTGTATGAAATATAACAAGAAAGTGGAACGCTATATAATATGATATTCGAAACCGATGCGACGATGTTTTCGAGTATTTTAGAACTGGAAATGCTGATTATTGCAAATTATTTGATGGATTTGCAGTGCTTTAAATGCCTAGGTTTTAATCAGAAACCAGCAAACTGAAAGAAGCAGAAAGTGCGTAGCAAGTTTCTCGGGAATCGTAGAAATAAGGACTGTGAAGCTCAACCCATATATTATTGCATTAACTTTAAACGATCTGATAAAAATTTGGAATTACGCAGATCTAACAGAGACTATTCATCTACAAGAAATAAATGTCCATTTTATACCCTTGTTGGAACAGAAAAAGAGAAAATGGGATACTGGCAATAAAGAAATAAAGATAAGTATTATATCCTATATTTGAATCTAATATCAATAAAACTAATAGCAAAACGAAAACTAACGAGGTAAGTTCCAGATTAAACATAAAAGTACGGACCTATAAAATTGGCATGTTTCAAGTGAGTTAATACAAAATACAAGCTTTTTTAAATTTTTGAATGATCATGAATTATTTGAGATACTTATCGACAGAGATATGGAATAGTATAAAATTATCTTTTATACTATTCTATGTAAACTTATCTCTGATTACAGTAGGTTCCTGCTTGCATTAAACCGCTAAAGGATGCTGAGTCTATTTTGTCTATTTTTACAATGTGTCGGTATTTGCGGTTCTATAAACTCTCTAAACAATATAATTGTTCATATCAATCTCAATGATAAAAAATGAAATCACATTTCTATGTATTTAAGTTCTTTGGATTGGATTGTGATTATGACATCCTTCATGGCTTAACAATATTATTCAGATTTATCAATATTATAGTGATTCGTGGCCTAAATAATTGTGTTGGCGTGAAACACGCTGTGCTAAAGGATATAATATATTGTAGTATACAAGTAAAAAAGGATTAGCAAAAGATGTAGAGAAACACAGAAAATCAGCCTGTAATTGCCTTTTACAAATGCTTAAGTAAAGGTATATGAAAAACAAAGAGAATTAGCGTCAAAGATCAGTAGTAAAACAGATAGCAAAACTTTTTGGCGTATGTTTCCACCGGAGATACAATCTTCTCCTATATACTCTTCTTCCAACTACTGCTGTAAAGATCCTTATTGATCAAGCATCGTCATTTATTCTCACAACATGATCTAGAATTCGGCATTTTACGCATAAAAATAAGAAGCAATAGTTGTACTTCGGACTTTACACATAAGTCAGTGCTAATAGCTATAATGTCGGTGCCAGACATTCAACTTAATTTAGTTTAATATATAGAGACCATCAAATCAACAAGACTTTCAAAGACAATTGATGAGGGATATTTGCACAATTCGAAATTCTTAATCAATGAATTAATATATTGATTAATTATTGGCGGTATTTATAAGTCGAAGGGAAACCCAGTTTGACGACATTAACATTTATGCAACAACTTCAAGACAAAATTGAAAAATCAAATAGGGCCTTCCCTAAAATTTAATGAAAAGTAAAGACACACTGTGACAATGTTGCCATTTACCGTAGCGAAAATCCTGCTGGCATATTTGTTTCGTTGTAAGCTCTTATAGCTTTCCAAATGTGATTTCTGACGCGACTAATATAACAGACAATATGTCCGAACAATGGCATACTTTCTGAATATCCTGAATTTTGTCAGCACTATTTCAACTACATGTCTTATTCGAGACTGAGCATTTTGTAATTTATTGTATTGTACCCATAAAATAACAGAAGTAAGTGTTTTTTTTATTGAGATACATGTTAACACATATTTACTTATAGTGTACACACACATAATGATTCCCACATCATCCAACTACGTATCTACCATTCGTTATAAAAATATTCAATTTATAGGCATTTCTCTGATAAAAAAATTATTTATATTTATTTCTGCCAATTTAGCATATGTGATACTTATATATTGCATATACATATCTGTGGAATATATTATTTTGATTGCAAATCCTTAATTCATCATCATACACCATCATATACCAATTGTTGTTTTCGTGGACTTATATATAATATAAAATTGTAACTGACTATTAATTGAATAGTCCAAATTGTTGTACTTGCAAATCTATATATAAGTGAATATATAGAAATAAAAAGTTAGTTTAGTTTTACATAACCTACAGTAGGCTTTCTATACATGATGAAAACATCGTTTCAACGACAAAACTTAGTGCTTCGACTGCTTAAATACTAACTAGTAGCTCAGCGGTTCTTTGGTACTGTTCAACTTTATGAACTCCATATCCATTATTACAGTGCAATTGAAATGAAATCAACTTTGATACTAAACACAGACAGTTACTGCAACGCTGCTCACTGGCAGCAAAAGGCTGACTACTAAAGGCTTAATGGAATAAGCCTATTGAACATACCAGTATGGTTTAAACTTATATGGAACTAAAAAGAGTGTGTAAGCAAAATTTAACTTTCGTTAGTGCAATATCCACGAACGGTATAAATAATTCTGGTTTGTGAGTAAAGCTAAAACACAGGAAAACATGATTTCAAAAAATCACAGATGGAACTTGGACTGATGCTGGTGTCCAACCAGCTTAGTACCAGGAGAGAAACCGCCACCAAGCATTATCATTGATTTTTAATACAACATGCCTACTAATTAAATACCTTTTTATAACCTTAAGATTTATTTAAGACTTTGATAGATGTCGTTGTGTTCACATAATCTAATTAATCTGTGTAATATTGCAATCACAATCGCCTAAAAGTACTCTACGTATATTGTATGTCCAGAGCCATCTAGCGCGAAACTGGACCTGCTGAAAGTGTGTTTCCTTATATGCAACGAACAAGAAGAAAGTTATTAATGCGTCTATTACAGTCTCAAGTTGACTTTTCAAAATGTTTCTTTAACCACCCTTGTTAAAGAATCTTAAATGGTTAAGATCGCGATGAATGCCGTAGCTAGAGGTGTATTCAGTATTAACAATTATTTATACTTTTGCATGTTAAATTCACTTCGACCTTATAGCCGTAAAATCAAATTATAAGAGTTATTTTCAAAATTAAACGATTTTTATTAAATAAAAGTTTGGAAAAGTGATAGACTCAACAGTGATATTATTTGTCTAAAGCGTTTTTTAGTTAATTCTTTTTAAAAATTATGTGATTTTGCAAGTTAGTATTCGATAAATGGTCAATGATATTCTGTTTTGGTGTCTATTAAAGCTTCTACATTGTCAATTTTTAATGGGATCATTTCCAATTTTCTATAGCTATGTTATATACGACCTGATATTTATATTCATATGCCATATCCTGAAACAGGTGAGGATGTGGTTGAGTAAAATTTGAAGATTTTCTATCACCTTTATCACGGGTTCATGTGATGTGCTAGTAACACTCTAAGATCTACAAATGTAGCTCTCATATTCTATGATACTCAAGGCTTAGAAATGTTTGCTTTATACAGTAGATACAGATAAGACGCAGGTATTGTACTTTTCTTGATTTCAGTTTGTGTTAGTTTTATCTCCAAGATTTTAGCTTTGTATTTAAGTAAAATTTATAGGTTTTTAAAAAATTCACAGTAATTTTCATGAACCTGGGTGCATAATATTTTAATAATAAATATTGATATTATTCACAGCTCTTTTTGGACTAGTTATATAATTGAATAGTCCTTACGACACCCAAATTGATGTGAACGAATTAGATTATTTTGTGGGAGTTTTGGTTCTTGTCTTATAAAAAAGATTTTTTTCAAATACTATAGTTTTAAAATGCACGGTAATATGCATAATGGCGTATATGACAATTTCAGCGACTTTCTGTACTATTCGATTTTGGGCCTGATCTAGTTGACAATTCGTTGGTATCCGTAGAATTTTTTTGATTGGTAAATGCTTATTATAAAAAGCGCAGCAAGTGATTTAATTTCTTACATTGAAGCCCATATATTATCTGGTTTTTTTAATGGAGGTTGATGTAAGGTATTGCCATGGATATGTTTTGTTTTTATGAGGAATTTGTTTATTTGGTTAGTAAATTATTTTTATCGATTTTCTTGACAAGATTTTTCTATTTCTCTCGTTGCGAAAAATTTTTATTTTATGTAATTTGAAATATTAGGTGGTGTTTATAATATTAGGAGGCAGTAGTTAATGTCACTGAATTGTGCAGTAGAGCTATCAATTTCTTCAGTGTTTTTAATGAGATATTCAAAAGACAGTTCTTTCGTCATTATTGACCTATTGTTGGTATATATATGTAAATTCTTCATCATTTAAATTTTAAGATGTTGTTTCATATATAAGTACAGCCGGAGAATGGTCAGAAAATACTTCGAGTGAGAATTTACTATTAGAAACTGTTTGCTGATATTTCTAAAACAAAGTAATCAATGAAGTTTGGGTTTTAAATTTAACTCCATTGTCAAAACTTTGGTTCCCCAAAGCTTAAAATATCTGTAACATATATATAGTTTTTTTGCCTTTGTCATTCATTATTATTGAACTCAAAATAGTATTGTTTTGTGTAATTAAGTAAAAAATAAGCAAAATGGTGATCATTTGCGCAAAATACAAAAACGTTTTCACAACTTTCGAAAAATGAATGCGTAGCTTATCGGAGCGATTATTTTAATAGAAATAGAGTTCACAATAACACATCACTCAGTAAGTCGTGTGACTAATAAAGAAAACAAGAAAAACAAATTTTTTCTGCCAAAAATCGATTTTACCAATTAATATAATCTTCTTCAAGGACAATACAATCATTCCAACGTTTCTCTAACTTCTCGATGCCGTACAAGCACGGATTTGTTTTTTATTTCAAAATAGGCTTCTGTTTCAGCAATTACTTCTTCATTTGAGATGACTTTCTTACCGACGAGCATTTTTTTGAGATCAGCGAATAGCCAGTAGTCGCTGGGGGCCAGATCTGGACTAAAAGGTGGATGAGGAAGCATTTCGAAGAGTAATTCGTACAATTTTGCCATCGTGTTTATTGACTTGTGACATGGTGCATTGTCTTGGTGAAACAAAATTTTTTTCTTCGCATTATGCGGTCGTTTTTTCACAATTTCTGATTTTAAACGATCCAGTATTGCTGTGCAGTAGTTACTATTGATAATTTTTTCCTTTCCGAGATAGTCAATGAAGATTATACCATGTGCATCCCAAAATACTGAAGCCATAACTTTCCCACCTGACTTTTGTGCCGCTTGCTTTGGACGTGTTTCACCGGCTGCAGTCCACTCAGATGATGATCGATTGATTCCTTGATTCCGGAGTGAATGATGGATCCATGTTTCATCCATTGTCACATATCAACTCAAAAAATCTGATTTATTACGTGTAAACATGGCCGAACACTGCTCTGAATCATCAACACGTTGTTGTTTTTGATCGACTGTGAGTAAACGCGGCAACCACTTTGAAAAGAGTATTCTCATGGTCATATATTTATGCATAATTGTAAACACACTGCCTTCTGATATTTCAGAAGAAAGGCTCAGCTTTCTCACGCAATTTCAATTTACGATCAGATATAACCAATTTCTGGACTTTTTTGATGTTTTCTGGAATAACCACCTCAATTGGACGACCAAAACGTTCACCATCATCGGTGTCTGTACGACCACGTTTAAGTTCAGCAAACCAATAACATAACAATGGTTCTTTTCGATGGAGCAGAGTCCGGAGAACATTTTTGAAGCCATTGCTGAGCTTGTACAGTATTTTTTTTTCATCAAGAAGCAATCATAAATTAACACACAAAATTGTTTTGAATCCATTGTTTTGAAAATTACAAAAGTAGCTTCACTTAAATGGCTGTCACTTTGTTTCTGACTAATCGAAAAGTCATGAAATTTTACACATAAATGCATGTTATGCAGAGTGTCACATCAGTATTTCCAATTTCGTATTTTTACCATGTTTTGATACTTTTTGGTTGTGCCTAAATTTAAAAGGAAATTTAGATATGCTCACTTTCAATTTGCCACCAAAAATAACTAGCAAGAAAAAACTCATAAAGACTGTAACAATGTTAATTTATTACTACATTATCTTACAATAATTGTTAACAGTACTTACGCCTTTCTTTAAAACTGGAAAGTGTAATAATTATATTATTAGCGATTTATAAAAAAGGCTGTGATGTTCCAAAACTTATTAGAATTGTAGTAATTTATTCCTAAAAGGCGCAAATTTTGAAATTTATTACTAAACAACTCTTTTTTACCTTAGTGCCGGCGCACAAATACGCCGGCTCTCATATCGGAGTTTAAACGGCCATATTGTTTTTTCTCTCATTCTCAAATTTAAAATTTGCCCGAGACACTCTGCATAACATGGCCCATAGTCTTTAGAAGGTTGGTACTTCATAAACGTCAATAGATTTGACAATGGCAGCGCCATCTGTGTGTGATGTGTTATACACAGTTTGCATTAAATCTAATTCTGATAAAAGCTAGGTTAAAAAATGGTGTGTAAACGAATTTAAAGAAAAAACTGATGCTTGCTTGGCTATACTTTAAGATCTTATGAAAAATCGCCTTCGCTCTAAGATAGAATCCAAAAGGATTAAGTTGAGGGCATACGGTTCGATATGAGTTATAGACGGTGTGTTATAAGACGAGACAGTAAGTGTTTTCAGGGGACGGGGGTGTTCTGTACCAGGCAACGGCCTGATCGCTTCCCACCTGGGGGAAGCCAGTCTTATCCTGGTCACAGCCATCCCAAGCATCTCACTACCTCCACGTGGTGTCCCTGGAAATTGTATGAAGCACCCGCCGATTACAAGCCAAAGTGAGAAGGCGCGATACGACCCGGTACGAACATGGACTACGATTGGAATACGCTTTTTTTCTCTATATATGATGATTATGGGCTGGTGGATATAGCTCTGGCACTTCAGTACAAAAGAGTGACATCTTGCGGAAATGGCTGCTGGTTAAGGTTATATCTATCTCCGTCCCGTTAAAATCTGGCAAATCTTCAGATACGTTCAACGCTATGTCACCATTAAGTTGGCTGCGCAGGCGCCAGTTGAGACAACTCCTGGCTAGCACCGTCTGGCTCTGTACTCAGTCACCCATAAGGGACTAAGTCAACCTTCCATGGACCTCACTCGAAGAAAGGGACCCATGGGGACATTAAAGTGACTGCACATACTGGTCGAGATAGCGGCTTGAAGTTGGGACCATGAATAACAAAAACTACAAAAACACTGAAAACAATCAAATGAACGACGACAACGATGACGTTGTAATATGCACCACCACCGAAGAAACTTCCACGCCTTTTAGGATAGGCTCCGTTATTAAGCGGACACCTCCATCAATATTAAGTAGCAACGAAACAGTAAATCGATCAACAACAATATTGAAAACAAATAAGCAAGAAGAAATACGAAAGAGCCAGCAACAACAACAACTTGCGAAAGATGTGGCTATTATTGATCTAGCACAAGAAACCGTAGTAAGTCAGTTAGCCAAGCGGTTAGGACAAGAAATTGACAGCCTCGTTCAATACGTCGAGCCACGTAACAATGTGCACAAAGATATAAAGAGAATGTGCAGCACAATTAAAAAGGCGCACACAAATCTCATCATGCACATAGAGATGAGTGAGTACAAAGCCAAGTCAAACATCACCTTGGTACAACAACGAGAAACGCCGTTGACAGCAAAACGAGACGCAACATCGGTATCGGCAAAAAGGACAAAATCCAAAATGAGTCCAAAAAAGCCTACAGAAGAAGCAACCAAATCACCTGATACTAAAAAGCGCAAATCAGACGCTGTGGCCGAAAGGCTGAACCAACCAGTAGAAGAATGGACGAAAGTACAACCAAAAAAGAAGGCATCCAATATAAAAAAGGGTAAATCAATAAGACCGCGAGCCGATGCCATCATCATTGAAAAAATGGAAAAAGAGATGTCATACGCTGAAATTCTGCGAACAGTGAAATCAAATGAACAACTAAAAAACCTAGGCAACAAGGTTAAAACCCTGCGCCGTACACAAAAAGGAGACCTGCTTATCGAGCTGAAAAAGAGCGAAAAAGCAGCAGCAAATGAATGTTGTGCCGCTATTGAAAAGGTTCTTGAAAACGTAGCCAAGGTGAATCTCCGGTCGCACAATGTAACCATCCAATGCAGAGGGCTTATTAAAGATCTGAACACTGATGACGAGTTATTCGACGCAATTGAAATGCAAGCAAAAGTGAAAAGACCTGATAAATGCACAATCAAAAGTAGGAGCAAAACGTACGGAGGGACAGAGTCCACATATCTAATGCTGCCAGCGGAAGATGCAAAAAAAGTACTGGCGCGCGGACATTTAATTGTCGGTTGGACTCGCTGTCAAATTACAGAAGTTACTACACCACAAAGGTGTTTCAGATGCTGGGCATACGATCACTAAGCGCTCAAATGCAAAGGACCCGATCGCACAAATATCTGCAGACGATGCGGCAATGAAGGACACCGTGCAGCAAATTGCAATGATGCAGAAAAATGTGTCCTCTGCGAAGGTGCACATACAGTTGGTAGCGGAAAATGTCCACGATACAAAGAAGCATTACAGAAAATCAAGGCATGAAGATACTACAATTAAACATCAACCATTGTAAAGCTGCACAAAATTTACTGTGGCAAACTGTAGCAGAGAACAATATTGACATGGTCTTACTCTCGGAACCGTACGAAGATATACACTCACATTACTGGATTACAGATTCAGAGAAACAAGCGGCGATCTGGGTGACAAATAACAAAGCTTTACAAAGCAAGATAACAGCTCCTGGCAGAGGTTACGTATGGGTGAAACAGAATGACGTGTACTATGTGAGCTGCTACGCACCACCAAGATGGTCAATTGATTATTTCGCTCAAATGATGTGTTCATTAGAAAATGAGCTAAGAGGAAAGCGCCCTATAATCATTGCTGGTGATTTTAATGCATGGTCACGAACATGGGGCAGCCGGTACACAGATAAACGAGGAAAGATAGTTGAAGAAACCTTCGCTGCCATGAATCTGGTTTTGCTGAATACACCTGGCGTATACACGTTCGCTTGTATTAGAGGACATTCGATAATAGATTTAGCCTTTTCCGATAGCATCACGGCAAACCGCACAAGATGGAGAGTAGATGAGTCAATATACACGCACAGTGACCATCAAGCAATAATGCTCGACACAAGCAAAACAAGATCGCACACACAATACAACTTAATCGCGCAAAGGAAATGGAAGAGATCAGTCTTTGATGCCGAAGCTTTCGATGTTATGTGGCAAGATGTGGAAATCGAAATCACTACTGCAGAAGAAATGGCAACACAACTGGCGAACCAAATAAACATCGCATGTGATGCATCGATGCCCAGATGCAGATACAATGGCAAAAGACAACCCGCATATTGGTGGACAGATCAAATAGCCAGCCTGCGTAGAGCGTGCATAACAGCAAGAAGAAGAGCGCAACGAGCAAGACGACGGCCAGATTTTGAAGAGCAGTACACCGAGTTTTGTACACGAAAACGCGACCTTAAACGAGCAATCCAGCAAAGTAAAGTCCGTTGTTTTACGCAACTACGTGATAGTACCGATGTCGATCCTTGGGGATTGGCTTATAAAACAGTAATGCGAAAGGTAAAAGGCCAGAGAGCCCCTCAACCAACTTGCCCTATCCTGCTAGAGCAAATCGTGCTTACACTCTTCCCCCCACAAGAGGAAGTGATAATGCAAGAGTACGCACAAATCGAGCAGGACAGTATACTGACAATAACAGCAGAGGAAGTGATCAACACGCTGTGCCGGATACACGACAATAAAGCCTCGGGGCCAGATGGAGTTCCCAATGTCGCTTTCAAAGCAGCGGTACGAAAAAACCCACAACTGTTCGCTGATATATATAATGCTTGCTTAAGAGAAGGAGTCTTTCCATCACAATGGAAACTGCAACGCTTAGTACTTCTTCTTAAACCAGGGAAGTTTCCTGATCAACCTTCGTCATACAGACCTCTGTGTATGCTGGACACAGCGGGAAAGGTCTTAGAACGTTTAATCTGTGATCGACTTCAAGAATACCTTGAAAACAACAACGGCCTGTCTGATATGCAGTATGGTTTTCGAAAAGCGAGATCAACAGTAGACGCCATCAGAAAAGTAACGTCCATAGCGCAAGTTGCATGCAGCGGCGGTTACACCCGAATGAAATACTGCGCAGTTATTACACTGGACGTGAGAAATGCCTTTAACTCGGCAAAGTGGCACAATATCCTGTTGGCTTTAGAAAGATACTGCGTTCC